CGAAGGCGCACAGAAGAGAGAGATGCTGAATGCTTCCAGTGTTAAAGGAGATCGGGCTCAGCACCTCTGAAATTTGGTTACTCTGAGCAGATTTGTTCTGATAGTTCTTCACATGCACTGGTATAAAGCAAAGCTAATTCTGCTGGGCACAGTGGACATGAGTCATCATCATCTTACAGCTATCTGACGTGAATTCAAAATTGTACTAAGATTTTATGTGTGTTTTGCACAATTGTGCCTACCACACATGGTGAGGCAATGGAGCGTGAGGCCCACCTGAACGTGATGTGTGTAGTATACGCTAGCAGCAGAAATTAAGCCAGATATAGTGCTTCTGGGAAACGACTGATTTCTTTAAAACTGTAGCATGAAGAGGTGTCTCTTATAGCCTGTGAGTAATGTAATGGACCCCATCGTTTTCCTCCTTTCACTACAGTTGTATAAACAGTACATTGAACATGGATTTATCTTGATTTCTCTGGAGGCAAAGCTACACTAATGAGTTGTAAATGAATCGTAACAGATTGCTGTCTACAAGAGCATACCTTGTAAAGAAAGACTGGTGAAATTAAGCTGTAGAAAAGATATTAATAGGAAGAGATAAAGAATGAACTGGATTAAAACAGATTTAAAATTTGTTTATTCTTTATTTCTTCTTATTCTGATACTCTGCATGCCTCATGAGAAGAAAGAAAAGCTACCGTGTGGTGGGGTTGCACAAGAAGCAGATTGGGGGTCCAGAAGTGGGCAGGTGGATGTTTGAACTTGCCCTGGATCACTACTGGATTCCAGTAAAATTCTTCTGACAGGTGGCTTGCTGTTCGTTGTGACACCTATCCAGGGAACTACTTGGATGACAAGCTGCTTCAGACTGAGGAAGAGGGTCTTTGCTTTGATGAGGAAATTGGCAAAACTCATGTCTCATTAGTGTTTCCTAAGGTTCTTAGGAAGTGAACAGCATTTTAATTAAAGGCTGACGTAAACATGTTTCTGCACACTTTCCCTGCAGCCTTTTATCACATTAGAATTGATCAAAATTGTTGCCTTGGGCTGTCTTGAGCAGATATACATCTGGAGCACCATTTGTGCAAGCTGCTGATGAGCAGGCTACATACACTGAGCTTCACAGCAGCACTGCTCTGCCTTCCTATGTAGGTGGGGTTACCTTGTTGGGAGATGAGATGATCTAACCCTTCTTATTTGCATGAACTTATATATCTTTTATGTGATGCTCTAAAATTTATGCCATCTGGGTGCATACATACTCTATCTCCATGGTAATATTAGAATACAGGAATAAAGAGTGATCTGGAACAGCACTGGGAATTTTTTTTAAATTTAATCTGTTTTTTGCATTTGCAGAAAGTTCTAGGCAGAACAAGACATGGTATCATCTGATTAATGTTGACCTTCTGATAACTTTGTCCAACTGCTTTTGGCATCTTTCTGCTCTTCATGTATACGTAGCATTTTTCAAAAAATCTGAAAATAAATCACACTGGAAGCTGTTTTATTTTCATTCTCAAAGCAATAAGGATTGGCATTTCATTCCTGAAACTCTGACACAGACATGAAAACAAATAGCCTATTTTTGTGACCTCTATTTGTCACTCATTATGTAGTTATCAGTATATAATTAAGCTGTATGTAGCAACTAGACTATATCTCATAATTTGAAAAAAGTAGATATGTTTTAAAATGAGAACAATATACATTGTCTGTTTTGCTGAAGCTACTGGCGAAGTTATATGAAGTCTCACTGTCACCTTAACTCATTCTGCTTTATTTAAAGACACTGTTTTCTTAGGAGCAAAATTAAAGACAGTGAAAAACTGCTTTGCCTTTTTGTGCCTTTTTTGTTTTTGTTTTTGTAACTGGTTACTCTACAAAGAAATGTAATTTGTGTGGTTTGTTACTAAAGCTACAAACCTACTCTCTTGGTTAAGAAGGAGACCACTGCAGTCTTTCTTCATAACCTATACAAACAGTTTTTGTTCTGGGACCCCTGTAGGCTGCATCTGTTATTCCACTGTGAATAGGACATAAATGCTCCATTATGATGTCAGTGCATACAAAGGGAGAACAAGAGGTGTGTGTGTGTGGGGGGGG